GCCCCCTTTCGCAGCCTAAAGCACTCCCGCGGGGAGCCACGACCCCTTTCTTCTGCAGGAGACCTCGGGCCGGGGCGGTGGGCTCGCGGACTTCCATTCCCCCGGCCACCAACGCGCAAACACGCGTCCTTTCTCTTCCCCCAGCCCCCCAGGAACGCACACACGCGCACACGCGCACACACTCACACGCGGGGCGTTCCTGTAGAGAGCGCCGGCAAGAACCCAGCCAAAGCCGAAGAACCCTCCGAGAGCCTGGGGGAGGGAGCCATGGGAGGTGACCAGGGCTTCCAGTCGAAGCGGAATTGAAAAATCCCTGCCGGAGGGGGGTGAGTCCATAACAATGACATTCAAAGACCACAGTCCACCGGGGCTGGGCTTCCAGAGTACTGTACCTTAGGCTAAGTGTCACCCTGGGCGGCTGAGGGCTCCTGGCAAGAGTTCTGGGGAGCAGGCGGTCTTGAAGGCAGCTTTCTGGGAATAATGTCCTGAGCTCCAGTAGCAGTCACACTCCTCTACCTGTCTGCGCGTCGGGGGCTGGGGGCTGGCAGGGGAAAGTGTGAGGCTTTTGCCCAAAGTGAGACTAGTGAGTCCGGCTCAGGGAGAGTTCCATCTCTGCACCTTAGAACTCAGCGAGTCTGCGGGGCAGAACGGGTTAAGCTGGGAGAGGAGGAGCGGGGACTGGGGTAAAGGAAAGAGAGGTGTGGGACTGGGAGGGATGCTGCACTGGGCGACCAAAAATTTTAAAAAAACCAAAAACACCACCACAACAAAAAAACCCAAACCGCTTTGGCTACTGAGCATGCCCAGTTCCCCAGCCCCAGCCCTATAAGGGAGGCATTGTGTGCGTTCCACTTCTCCGGGCTTTGGTGGTGACCGCGAAGGGACTCTGGTTGAGGGGGTGGGTGGCGGAGATAGCGAATGTTTGGGAAGGGACGAGGTTTACCGCTTTGGAGCTGTGCTGGAGAGACTGTGTAGCGGGAAGAGGGAGAGAGTCACAGAAGGAAGAAGACGAAATGGACTAAGAAAAGTCACTTCAGTAGCCCCCCAGGGTCGTATCTGTACCAAAGCGTCTCTGACAGCCCTGTCTTGCCTTACCCAGAGGCTGCAAACAGCGCGCAGGGTTTCTCCCACCCATTTGTTGTGCTTCCACATGATGAGAGCGACTTCCTGAGGAGGACTTATCTTTCAACTCAAAGTCACTTCAATAGGGAATTTAGTTAATATGCCCGTAGGAAGGCCCAGGGACCTGGGGGAAGGTTGGTGGTGGTAGTGGAGGGGGGAGGGGGAGCGGTATGAGGAAGTTTGCTTACCAGGTGTGTATTTCAAATACCCCACTTTCCTAAGCAAGACACTATGGCACCATTCCTTCTCTGCCTTCCTCACCATGCTTTTTTGGTTCCTGCTTGGCTAAGAAGAAAAAAAACCAGTGCTGCCTCTTTACTTTGTCGGAGTAAAGTGGCTTTAGGTAAATAAAGCTAAGTTAGCAATGGGAAGTACTTCCTGGGCACGTTTCAAGGAATTCTGCCTGGCCCCTGTCTTCAGGCCCAAATTCTGTCCAATCCACTTAATCAACCTCCTGGTGACTCCAGCCGCAGTAGGGTATAGCCAGTACACAGTAATGCTTTTGCTTAAAGATGAAAAACTCCTCCTACAGCTAAAACTAGCAATAGCTTTGCAACCAGAATTTGGCTGTCTGCCTGAACTCCTACAGTTAAACATTCACTATAATTGGTTGCTGTTTAAAGGCCCAAACCTAGGCAAAAAAAACCATACTGATTTATTGTATCATTTTGTGTGGATGCTGTCCCTACTTTGATATTATCAGTAGTATCTATTCATATATGACCTTTTTTTTTCTTTCCGTTTTTGTCATTTCATGAAGCTACCTTCGAGTTATGTTCATGCAAACGATTGCTGGGCACAGCATGGAGAGCGATGCACATACAATATTCAAATGAATATTTAAACAGCTATGTGTATGTAGGCCTATTTCTCTATTGACCTTGGTAAATATTGCGTTTTCCTAACGACTCCTTTTCCACCCCCACTCCCCACTTCTCTGAGAAATGCCACCATTTCTTTTGAAAAAGAAACTAGAAGCAGAAATTGAGTGGGCAGTAATGGTAAAATTGGCTATTCAATATGAAATCCATTTTGAAATAGCATTGCCTAAGCAAACATGAAAGGAAGGGTCCATCCATAAAAACATCTGAACTTGTGCAGCTCCTCAGAGTACCATGAAATGTGTTTCCCCCAAAAGGTAACAGCTGCAGTCTGTTGGGAAAAACAAAACCAACCAAACCAAACCAAAACAACCTTCTACTGTGTTACTAAAATCAGGAGCCCTGGTGGTGTAGTGGCTATGCGTTGGGCTGTTAACTACAAAGTCAGCAGTTCAAAACCACCAGCTGCTCCATGGCAGAAAGATTAGGCTTTCTATTCCTGTAAGGAGTTATTTATAGTGTTAGAAATGCATAGAGGCAGTTTCTACCTTGCCATATAGGGGCACCATACATCAGAATCGACTCCACAGCAATGAGTTTGGTTTTCCTGGTTTGACAAAGGGAGGCCCTGATGGTTTCTTGGCTGAAGTGCTTGGCATTAAAGAAAGGTTAACAGGTTGGTTGGAATCTACAAGCTACCCTAGGGATGCGGCAGCTGGCTGTACAGCCTGGGATTGAAAGCCTTGGAAACCCTATGGTGGCAGTTCTCCTTTGTCCTGTGGATTCACTGTGAGTCAATCCACTGGAGGGCAGTGGGCTTGGATTTTTTGGTTGTACATTTGAACAAAACAGAGTTTGCTCATTAAGAACTCACATTTGCATTAATGCAATTTGAAAGTTGGCATTTATTCTAAATGTAGGGACCCAGGGAGCTGCACTATATGATATCAGGATAGGTGGATTGTTTATCCTTTACTATAAATGTTAACAAGATTCAGTAGTATGAGAAAAAAAATTAACCTGAAGAAATAATGCATATTCCAAGTACTGTAATAGCTGAAAAGGCCAGATTTGGACAGGAAAGAACAGATCATTTCGATGCCTATTTTTATTCAACTTCAGAAACTTCTGAGAGTTGATAATATGAAGGGGTTTCAAAACGTTACTGGAAATATGAGATTGAAAGATAATGTTTCGCATGAACTTTTTGAAGACTCCTCATATATAACTGCAATGGCAAGAATGTTTCTTTTCAGATCGGTCTGAAGTCAGAAATCTGAAACAAGGGCAGGTAGGAGAACATCAAGGTATTACACTTCGTAATGGTGCTGAGAACTGTTTACTTAGTAACACGTCATTAAAACGAATGTTGTAAAATAAAATATTTTTATGCTACCAAAAGATAAAATGCGTATTCCTGAAGTAAAATAGATATAATGACCCCCATGCCTTATGCTTCTTTCTTTTCTTTTTAATTTTTTTTTCATTTTATTGGGGGCTCATACAGCTCTTATCACAATCCACACATCCATCCATTGTGTCAAGGACCTTTGTACATACATTGCCATCATCATCTTCAAAACATTTTCTTTCCTACTTGCGTCCTTGGTATCAGCTCATTTCCCCCTTCCCCCACCCTCCCTCCCTCATGAACCCTTGATAATTTAGAAATCATTATTATTTGTTATGCTTCTTTCTTTCAAAGCAATTTCAAACCCCAGTCCATTTGTCCTGTAGTCTCTTTTCTCTCTTCTAGAATTACATGTGATCCCTCCAATAACCAAGTGAAACTCACTGCCATCAAATTGATTCCAACTTACAAAAATCCTAATGAACAGGGTAGATTTGCCCCTGTGGGTTTCTGAGACTGTAACTCTTTTCAGGAGTAAAAGGCTTCATTTTTCTCGCTTGGAGCGGCTGGCAGTTTCAAACTGCAGACCTTATGGTTAGCAACTCACTGTACCACCAGAGGACCTTCTCTGACTCCTACATGGAGTGAACTAAAGGAATCCCCAAGCTCAAAAACTAGAAACAAATAAATAAATAAATACATTAAAACGTGTTAGGCAGAACCAAAACCTCCATCCATATTTATGGTCATTGAAAGTAAAGCAAATTAATTTTTTTCCTAAAATATATGAATGCAAGTATTGTAGTTAAAAGATGGATTTACAATTGCCTGGGGTCCCCCGCCCCTTTTAAATGTTCCACTGAACTTACTCTTGACTTTCCAGAGTACAACTGAAATGACAGAGCCACTCTGAAAAGCTGTGTCCTGGTCCCCGGGCTTAAAGCAATAATCATACCAGGAATTTCATCAAGTCCCTGTGTATCCTTACATGGCATGGAAGTTTTAGCAGTTAAACCTTAGCAATGCAAAATTATTATAACACCCACAAAACATAGCCTGAGCCAACGGTCTCACGTTCACTGTATCCCTCATTTATCCCGTCTCATCTCACTGCAGCTTAAAATCAAATTAGATTTAATTTTGGTATCCAGGTATCAGAAATCACTTTATTGTACTATACAAGATTTAGTTATACTCTGGCATTTTAAAAATCACCAATTTGACATTTCTCTAAGAAAGTTCTTAGGAGGTTAATAGATCTTTGGGGAAACGAACTTTCCATGATCAAATAAGTTTGGAGAGCCTTTGGTTATGTAAAGTTAAGCATTTTTTTTTAAACTTCAAAATTTCTCAGTCTATTTAATTATACTGAAAATGAATTCTGATTTACTAAGGGAGAAGGGTATCCACAACAACAAAATAATTTCACTGCCCTAAACTCACAATCATGATTCATAGTATGCAACATTTCCCAATATTATTTCATCATCTACAGGTTAAGAAAACTTGTGCCAATTGCTCATATTTGCAACTTTTATAGAATCTAGTTGTTGAAAAGAGACATTTAAGGTTTTAAACTGACCCACACAATATTCTCATTGTGATCAAGCTGATTCTGCATAGGATTTCCAAGGCTGCGTTCTTTATGGTCACTAGTTGTCAGTCATGTTGTCATACTGTGGTAGCTTCCATGTTGTTATAATACTGGCAGCTATGCCACCGATATTTCAAATACCACCAGTCATGGAGAACAGGTTTCAGCGAAGCTTCCAGACAAAGACAATCTAGGATGCCTTATGAATGTTCTAAGAGCATTGAGCCCCACAGGTTGGAAAGCACTCAAAATAAGATTGGTGAAGAACTGCTTCTTCAAAGTAGAGTAGACCTTAAGAATGTGGAACAAAGTTTGGGGGACATTCATTTGCTGTTGGGGCATAACTCAAAAAGAGATGAAACATCTGCAAGCACCCACTAATAATCAGAGCATGGGTGTACAAAATATGAATCTAGGAAAATTGAGAGTGATCAAAAATGAAATGGTACACACACAAAAAAATCAATACCTGAGGATGAAATGGCTTGGCTTTGGTCATTTCGAATCATGTGGTCTACTTAGCTGGGAATGACACACTGAAGAAGAATGATATCCCATTCATCATCATAAAGGATATTTTAAGATCTTAAAGTGCAATGCTCTCCGTGATAAGTTCCTATCCAAGCACATACCAGGAAGATAAGTTAATGCAACTATTATTCATATTTATGCATCAATTGCTAAAGGGAATGA